ATGTAAAGCATTTTGCCCATTCGGTCCAGCATACGAAAGGCTGCCATGACTCATGTCATGCAGTGACCGCGCAATAGCGACCTCCTCCGTCACGACGGCGAGGTACAGCGGCGATGCACCTCCTTCCCTTGGGAAGCTGGCCAACTCGGGATCCTCCTCCATTAGCCGGATGACCATGCCCCGGCTCCCCACGCGGACCGCATCGTGCAGAGCTGTCTCGCCGAGCCTGTTCTCGGCGCGCAACAGCTCCTTCACTAACCTCGAGCCCTCGTCGGCGCCACGTCCCTCGCCCTCGTCGTCGGTGGTTTTGGCCGCTGATTGCGCAAATTAAAAGCCATGCTCGAGGTCGGTGAGGTCATGTTTGGCATAGCTGTTTGGGCCGGAGGAGCCAGAGCCAGTGAAGATAAAAATACTAGCTTTACCGGCTCCTAATTCAATTGTAGAAGAGAAATAAAAGCGGTTCCTTACTATAGTGCAGAATTTTTCCTAGAAGCATGAGAGAAGTCATCCTGAACGGGCATTTGGCTTACATAGAAGGAAAAAAAATGAAAAGGTGCATTTTAAACCCACGGAGTTATGGCCGAGTTTTGAACTCACTACAAATAATGAAATCATCAGCTTAATTGACCCTCTTGCTCTAGAAAGGAGGATACACACCGCATCCAGTGGGTGGTTATTGTAGCTTAGGCCTCGTTTAGCACAGCTCAACTTCACTAGTGAAGTTATTTTAAAAAAAACAGTTTCATAAGTAGTTTTTTGGTGAAGCTGAACTATTTTTATCCGATTTGTCAAAATAGCTTCACATAATGGAACAAAATAATCAATGACCAGAATGCCCTTTTTCTCCGTTTTCTTCTCCACGTGACCCTTCTCCACGCTCATGCGTCGGCCCTTCTTCCTCACGTGACGATAGCGGTGCTGGCTCGGGTAGCACGCACCTTGGCAGTCGTGCTCGTGCACGCCCCGAAGGCCGCGCTCGCACGCCCTGCGGCCACGCACGACCGCGCCCCAGCGACCACACCTACCCCAGCGGTGGCGCCCTTTTTCCGATGGTCCGTGCCCCCAACGACTGCTCGGCAGCCCGCGCCTGGCTCAGCTGCGGCGCCGGTGTCCTCGCCTGGCTTGGTGGCGGCGGCGGCGGCACCTGTGCCTCGCCCTAGCAGCGGCATTTGTGCCCTGCTCGATGGCGGCACCTCGCCACCTCACAGTCCGGCGGCTTCTTCTCCAACCCCAGCTGATGCACTTCATCGTGCGCTGCGTGTTCCTCGGTGTCAGCCTCCAACCCCACACCATCTCTCTCACAGCCGCCACCTCGTCCGATACGGGCGGCATCGGCGGCGTCTTGGAGGGCAGTGCGACATCCACTACTGTAGCTCATCCACGGCTTCAATTCGGGACCCCGGCGAGCCGCGCACCCACATCGTACGTGTTTCCTATTAAAACAAAATTTATTCACTTCACACCCACATCGTATCCTCTCTTTTCATACACTCCCCATCCATCGTGGCGCTAACATCGCCCCTCTCTCCACATCTTTTGCTGCACCCCAAAACCTTTACTTCCGCGTCTGATATAGTGTATTCAAACCTGAGCCTTGCCATGCTGTGGAGGCCAAGACCGCGCAATGTTCCCATCAGCGAGGGCGAGGGTTTGAGACCTTGTGTGGTGTGGCCACGGGAAAGTAAAAGTGACGCTCATTACCTCATTGCCAAAGGATAGTTGATCGGACCGAGGTTTCTTGCGACAAGGTACATGGAGACAATGACATATGTGTGGTTGTAGGACGACATTTTCTTTATTATACTTTGTTGATGATTCCAGCTATTTTCATTTTGTGTCGCCATGGTAGGAACCTCTCTTTTTTTAAGCTAAAAAGGATATGCGTTCAACTAATACTATTCATTAAGCTCTTATAAAGTTTTGGATTTTCATTAAGCTTTTTTTTCTCTCTTTTGAAAGTGTTGGATATCCATTAAGCTCGTAAACACATACTACGGTGTCCTATTGAAAGTTTACATGTGTGACAAATAATGCACGGAACAAGATGAAAGTTTACAGAGCGTAGAGATATATGTCCAAAAATCTGCCTCCACAAATTAGAATCGTGCTAAAGTTTTGGATATTCATTAAGCTCGTAAATGCATTACGACATGTACAACTCGCAGACAATATACTATGCTGTCAGCTGTGTTCAAGAGCGTAGAGATATATATGCCCATCTAATCTGCCTAGCCAAATTAGAATCCCGATAAAGTTTTGGATATTCAGTAAACTCATATAAACACATTAGGGCATGTATGTATAATAATCTGCGCCTGCTCAACATCATTGGCCGAATCTCAAAGTTCGTCTTAAAAAAAGAAAACATAATTGGCCGAATCTGCTTGAGCTTGTTTGGATCCGACGAGGAGACGACAGGGAGGGTGCGATCGATCCACTTGGCCTCTTGCACAAGCACTCGACAGATCCCTTCTCATGTGCCAATGGTGATGCCCTCGGCCCGGCCAGTCCACCATTGCCCGCCGCCTTCGGATGGCGAGCGAGCGGCCTCATCCGCGCACCATCTAGGAAAGGATTTGCATCGGGAGTGGCTGAGTGGAGGAGTTGGATTTTGGGAAGAAAAAAGTCCACATTATCTCTCCCAAATTTCGTAAAAGTCTGCTTTTTCTTTCTGAACTTTAAAACTAGGTAAACCACTTCCCTGAACTTTTAAAACCATTTGTTTTACCTTCCCGACCAGTTATAAGCGGTTTTCAAAGGCAATTTTGTCTTTTTTCTTTTTATTTATTTCGGTTGAATCTTTGAAAAATCATAATAAATCAAAGAAAAATCATAAATTAAAAATCCAACTTTATTAGACTCCACATGACTAATTTACACAGCGAATATATAATATGGTATACTTTAGTATAATTTTTTTGTAGCTTTAGATCTATGTTTTTTGTAATTAATCATAGATGTAGTTTCTATGGTCCAATTATGGTGAAATTTTATGGTGGGCTAATTATAGTATTATTGAACTGTAGTAAAAATTTTATACTCATTGGATCATATATAACGTAGTTATAGATTTATAAATACTTTTTAAAAAGCATACACCTAAAAAATTCACCACAATTGGACCATAGAAACTATATGTATGAATTAATTATAGAAAAGTAAAGATCTCAAGGTACAATAAAAAAAATATACTAAAGCATACCATATTATATGTTCACTGTGTAGATCTACTCACGTGGAGTCCAACAAAATTATATTTTCTATTTTATGATTTTTCTGTGATTTACCATGATTTTCAAAGATTCAGCCAAAATAAATAAAAAAAAGACAAAACCGCCTTTAAAAACCGCTTATAACCGGCCAGAGAGGTAAAACGATCAATTTTAAAAGTTTAGGGACGTGGTTTACCCGATTTTAGAGTTTAAGGAAAAAATAGACTTTCGTAAAAGTTAAGGGAGGCGACGTGGACTTAGGGAATAAACGTATGAAGGATGGTGTGGGCGTTTCTAACTCACCTGTTGGACAAAATGGACCCGGCCGAATAGAAGAAACATTACGCGATGAGTTTAATTGGGCTGGCCATTCGATGTGCCACTCCCCTTCTGTTTCAGTAATGCTATATGCCTGGCATCCGACGCGCTTCTTCACCTCCGGACGTGGCTCGCGCTCCTCCACTTGCTCCCCTCGCCTTATCCTCATCCACCTATCTCACGTCGCTCAGCCCGCTCCATAAGGAGACGCTCGTCGCCACTCCTACCGAGCCGCTCGTGGTGCCGCCCCGCTCGAGCCATGCGTCCCCTGCCCGTCGCCCCTCCCTCCCTCCGTGACCCCCATGCCATAGGAGAGGAGGGCGACAATGGCGGCTTCCGGCGAGCTACCCCTCTCTCCCTCCCCATCTCCATCCTGCCCTCCGCGACCCCATGCCACCGGAGAGAGGGCGAGGCGGCGGCTTCCGGCTAGCCGCCCCTCTCTTCCTCCCCCCTCCCTCCTTTCCTCCTCGACCTCCATGTCCCGGGAGAGGAGGGCGATGGCGGTGGCTTCCGGCGAGCCGCCCCTCCCTCCCTCCGTGACCTCCATGCCACCGAAGAAGAGGGCGATGGCGGCGGCTTCCGGCGAGGTAGGTGGGTCCTTCTCTGGATCTGAGCCCTCCTCCACGTCCTCCTCTGAATTTGAGCCCTCTTCCTCCTCCTCCTCCACTGGATTTAAGGGATGCGGCGGTGGCTAGGGTTCTGGCGAGCTCTCGGGGTCAGATCTCGCCGTGTTGCAATGATTTTTTGGATGTTGCAACATATGATTTCGAATGTTGCAATGGAATTTTTTTGGGTTGTTGCAACAGATGTTTTTGCGATGTTGCAGTAGTACTGCTTGAGATGTTGAAGTATGTTTCAGTTGCTTCAATCTCATATTGCAGTAGGTGTTCCATGTTGTTGCAAGTGTTTTTATTTCGAGCATTGTTTCATATGCTTCACACCAGTGTTGCAATAACATGTTCTAAATATTTCAGCTCCTTCAGCCTATTGTTGCAGCAGTTAGTTCGGCGTGGTTGCAATAATATGTTCATGGTGTTTCAGCTGCTTCATGCTAATGTTTCAGCTGTTGTTCCTTGTTGTTGCAATAATATGTTGATGGTGTTTCAACTGCTTCATCCCAATGTTGCAGCTGTTCAAATGTTTCAGCTCCTTCAACCTATTGTTGCAGCAGTTTGTTCCGTGTGGTTGCAATAATATATTTATGGTGTTTCAACTACTTCAGCCTAATGTTGCAGTAGTTATTTCCGTGTTGTTGCACAGAAGAGAAACGGGGAACAACGTGGACCTCCGTCATGTAGACGTGCGGGGCTTACGTCCGCGACACCATCAGATAGATTGGTATCCATCGGACGTCCGGGCGCCAGCACCACCTCTCCTGTTTGCCGTGGAGCCGCCTCGGGCTCGGATCCCTCCGCCTTTTCGGTCCTAGACGTCTTCTCTTCTACGAGGAAATCTAGCAGGACTGGAGGCATGGAAGCTAGGAGGAGGATCCGGATCTCCTTCTCCGATCCTGATGCAACCGATTCAGACTCCGGCGAGGACGCGAGTTCCGCCTCCTGTGGCAGCAAGACAAAGATTGTAATCTTGCATTGCAGTAGTAGCACCAGGAAGAACCCTGCTGGCTGTGGTTCGCAACAAAGGCAAGCAATCCGATCGTCGTCGGCGAGCTGCCGGGACCGCGCCGTCGTCGGTTTGCGCCCCGTGATGAAGCGGTGCCGCGGCGTGTACGAGCGGCAGCCTGGTCGGTGGGCGGCGGAGTTTCGGAGCCACAGACACAAGGCCCGGCATTGGATCGGGACGTTCGCCACCGAGGAGGAGGCCACGGCCGCGTACGACGACTTCGAGAGACAGTTCGTCCCGTCGCGGCGCTGTGGCCTGCCGCTGCCGCTGGCGGCGTTGGAGCGCGGCCATGGCCGCGCTGCTGGCGTTCACAGAGCATCACATCCACATCGACAACGGCATCCACATACACCTGATACTGAGAAGCGATAGATTGTACAGGCTTTGACGGCGACTGGGGTGATGCTGCCGCCGTTGCCGTCTGCGCGAGCTGCGACTGCGAGTGCGCCATGCGTCTCGAACTCCACGTCGGCGTCGTCGCCGCCGCCGCCGCTGGTCCCAGCGCCACCGACGCCGTTCGAGAATGCGGCGGAACCGCATGCTGATGCGCTGCCGAGTGTTCATTCGTTCTGGGCGGACGAGCCCGCCGACGAGGATCTTGTAGGGCTAGCTGATCTTAGACACCTGCCATTGCCGTTCTCGGATGGAAGCATGGACTTTGATCCGGCTGATTATTTGTCGCTGTTTGATGGTTTCTTGGGACGAACAGTATATGCATGCATGCATCATCAACAAGATGACAAGTAAGTGTAAATGTTTTCACAATTCCTAATTCTTTCGATCGATCTGTACACAAATAATTCAATGGCAATAAACCTTCTCAGTAGATTTTCGCAATGTCATCGCAAGATTTTCCGTGAGTAGGTCTTCGCAAGTTACGCGCAACTAATCGCTATCTGTTAGGATTTGGTATCCAATATTTCCTTTTTTTTTTCTTTCTGATGAGAAAATGATGACTCCAATTTCTAACTAATAATCTTTTCGTGCAACTGTAATGTTGATGGAACATGTAATCTAAATTTAATGCAAATTTCATTAATTCTGCTTGGTTTTGTTGTGAATTCACAATAACACACATATTATATCTGATGATTAATACTAAACATATATAGCTAATTATTAGCTACGGAGTACAATGAAATCTTAAGTTATTAACCATCGGTCGTTCCATTAGATGAGGCGAGACACGACGGCGGCCGGCGGCGATGTCTTCTGGACTTAGAAGAGCGGGCCAGGGCACTCGAAGGAGATCTCGCAGCCCTCGACGGGCGTGAGGGTGATGACGTGCCTGACGGAGTTCATGAAGGGCGGGAGGCGCGCGGTGGCCTGGCAGACGCACGAGTTGTCGAGGCCCATGAGCCTGCGGCAGCACGCCGTGTCGCGCGGGTCCGACCCCTCCCCCTCCTCGCTGTGCCGGTGCTGGTGCCGGTGCCTGGACCGCCTCCCGCCGTGGCTATCGTCGTCGTCGTCGTCGTCGCCACTGCTCCGGGACTGCAGCCCCTGGCTAACCACGCCGCTGGTGGCGGCGGCGGCCGTGGACGTGGACGTGGACGTGGACGTCGTCGTCTCGTTGAGCTGCTGCTGCCGCGGCAGCCCCCCGCGCCTCACCCCGGGGCCCGGGATGATATTCCGCATGCTGCACGCCTCGTTGGCCAGGTTGAACTGCGAGCGGCAGAACACCTGAGCGCTCGCCGGCTGGTGCCCCCTCAGGAGCAGGGCAGCTGACACCAGTAGAACTAGGGCTAGAGCCTTCTCCATGTCCAGGTTTTTCTTTTCTGTGTGTGCCTGCTGCTGTGCTTGATTATTTGGCCTTAATTGGGCAACGATCGATGTTCAGCTACGGATCATGCAGCGCTGCTTAAATAGTGAAGACAGTGCTACACGTTGTGTTAATTAGCTCAGGTTATCTACTTCTCTTTACATCTGTTGCCGGAGTGGGTTTCTTTTGTTTGTGGTTTTTGGGCTCTGAGATCGAAGGCATGCTGGTAGAGGTTAGGTGTGAGTTTTTTCTGAAGACTGATAAGGGCGTGTTTAGTTCCAAAGATTTTTGGCTTTTGCCTATTGTAGCATTTTCGTTTGTATTTGGCAAAAATTGTCTAATTATAGACTATTTAGGTTTAAAAGATTCGTCTCACGATTTCTCGGCCAACTGTGTAATTAGTTTTTTTTTTCGTCTACATTTAGTACTCCATGCATGTGCCGCAAGATTCGATGTGACGGGTACTGTGCAATTTTTTTTGAATTTTAGGGACATCTAAACGGGGCCTAAGCATCTAGCTTCCGAGCTCTAGTTGTCACATCACCTAGCAAGAGTAGGTGACTGTGCGTGCTGCTACTGCTGCTGCTGTGTGAGGGCGCGTTCAGATCTAAATTTTTTTTTTGGGTTTTGGTCACTGTAGCATTTTTATTTGTATTTGTCAATTAGTGTTTAATTATGGACTAATTAGGTTCGAAAGTTTCGTCTCGCGATTTCTCACTCAACTATGCAATTAGTTTTTTTTTCGTCTACATTTAGTACTCCATGCATGCGCCGCAAGATTCGATATGATGGATACTGCGTAAAATTTTTTGAGTTTTGGGGAACTAAATAGGCCCTGAATTTAGTCGGCTACAAATACAATGCACCGATTGTTTTCAATCTGCAGTGTTATGCATGCCGTGTGGAATGTGGTGTCACACAAGGAGCACAAGAATCAACATATATACCATCCATGATTTATTATGTGTACATGTGAGTTCTTGCTAACCTATCAACCTTTCCTTGTAACTTGTATGTATAATAACAGTGGTGTCTTATTACTGTTCCAGGTAATGATGCATACTTGTTATCTGCAGGTTAGTTAAGACTGGTTGTTTTGATGCTAATATATGACAAGAAATGAAAGTTTATTTCTTCATCCAATCGTCGTTTACATCCCACAGTAGTGTCTGCATCCTTGATATGGAATTCATTAACAATAAAAGGGCCATTTAGATTAATGATGCAGTCCAACATTCAATCACTGAGAACATGACACGTAACTGAAACCAACTTTTAAAACTGACTGAATTCTTTTTTTATTCCAGTCGAATATTTCCAACCAATCAGGGGAAAAAGTGAAAATCTCTTGGTTGCAACCAATTCATTTTAATTTTAAAAAACAAAAAGTGGTGAAAAAATAGCTTAAAATATGTTCTAATGTGATTATCCAACGTCCGGACGCCCACGCGCTGCACTCCATTTCACGTGCTCCACCCGGGGCCCACGCTGCCCGACCGACAAGAGGAGAAGGGGGCAGCGCCTCTGATTTAGAAGGACCCAGTCGCGTCATCGTATGGATGCTCTGCTGGTGCTGGGAGGATGACACATCAAGACGATGTAGCAAAAGGCGAGGTGGAGAGATGCAACACCCGATCCTCTTTTGAAACATCTAAATGCAATAGTTGCAACATACGTTTGAAGGCAGATAAAACACTTGAAACATGCTTCTGAAACACTTGAAAAACACCAGGAAATATTTGAAAACCATTGCAAACATACGCAACATCCAAATAAAACATATGCAACGTATATGTGAAACATATGCAACATCAAGATAACACACGCTTGCAACATGTGCTCGGAAAATAGAGATGAAACATTGGTAATAGACCTTTGCAACATATGTGTACAACTATTGCAACATATGCTACATCCTGATCTACTTTTGATCTATCTGAAACACTTGCAACATATCACTGAAACATCTGAAACACTCAAAACATACGCTTGCAACAAAACATGGCAGCCAGGCGGGCAGAGCACGACATAGCGGGATTCGGTTGTGCGGTCGTGGCGGAGAAGGAGGATGGCAGTGGACGGGCGGCGGTGCGCCCCCCGCTGAGCGACTGTACGACCCCCGACTCCCGGTGAATGGCTACGCTACGTCCGGTGAGCAGCTACGGTGCCCCCGGTCGTCGGTGAGCGGCTGCCCCCGGCGATAAGGCGCACGCGGTGCTCGTGGTGGAGGCGACAACAACAGTCGGGTGGTGCGGCCTCATACGGCGAGCACGCCACAGTGGTACGGTCATGGTGGAGGATTTGTGGCAGTGCGGGCGCGGTGGAGCTGGTGGTGGAGCGCAGTCACGGTGATGCATGATTTTTTTTATCTGCGGTGATTGGATGGGAGCGGATAGGAATGTATAGGCTTCTGGACATCGGGTCCACCAACAGGGGTGTCCGGCACGGACAGACGTCTGATTCCTAGGACTGCCGTTAAAATAAAGGGCAAGAGACCCCCACACTGTGAAAAGATGGGTTATGCAAGCCTGAGGAGCTTGGTTGGTTAGGTTATGCAAGCCTGAGGAGCTTGGTTGGTTAGGGATTGTTGACCTCAAGCTATCTGGCATTGCCATGCAGAAAAGATGGCTTTGGCTGCAAAAAATGGATGGATCCAGGGCTTGGGTTGATTTACCACTTGAAGTGAGAAAGACAATGCGGTAGTCCTTCAAAGCTTCCACATTAGTGGGCATTGACAATGGCCAGTGCATGTTGTTTTGGTTAGATAACTAGTTCGATAGCCAATCGGTCGAAGAAACCTCACCATCATTGGTGGCAAAGAGAGAACACGCAAGTACTCACAAAAAAGAGAGAACACGCAAGACCTAGATGGTTGCCTAAGCAATCTCCAATCATTAATGGGCCAGGTCAATAACCAGAGGCCTAACCTTGCTGGTGACTATAGAGTACCTATAGCTTTTGGATCAGGTTGAAGCTATTGAGCAATCACCTAGCATTGGATAGATGGTGGACGCTACATTGCTAGATCGGCTTATCGACAACTTCACCTTGGAGCCATACCATTCGAGGGCCATGACCTAGTTTGGAAGTGTTGGGCACCGCTCCGGGTGAAGATCTTCCTTTGGCTTACAGTCAAACTGCAACAAAGGTCAGGGCAGACCAAGAGGCTCCCTGCATTGGCCACTGAGCGCGCTGTATGTGCATCATGGTAGTGCAGACGCCTTTGTTGTCGTCGAACGCGTCCTCGCCAAGCACAAGCTTAGAGACCCTATTTTCCGCTAGCTCCTATCTTGTTGCCAATGGAGCGACGGTCGATCATGTCGGCGCGGGGCTTCATGCTGAGCCATCTAAAGGGCGCAGTGGTAAATGTTGAGGATCGACCAAGGAGCTTGGCCACTATGGTGGTTGGCTCGAACAATCTGCTGATGTCGACACTGCTGCATTGCTCCAAGAAGCACGTGGATGCGTCGAACACGGCACAACTGAGGTCACTTTGCCATATCAACGAGACTCCATGTGGACAACAATGAGCAACATTTGTCGTGTTATGGCCCAGACTCTTCCATGTCCTTTGGTCATCCATCGGCTATGCCTCCACGAGAGAATATGGTCGATGTAGAGGAGGAAGTCCATAGCCTTGTTTTCCAGCATCACTTCCTTGTCATCGCTGTCGGCCGTGAGTTCCTTGATCTTGTTCCATGGTAACTTATTGTTGCTACCACTAGCCTTGTGCCACCACACGTACATAGCAGTCTCCACCCGGTCGGCCATTGCCAGCAAGTTGTGCTCCGATGAGATGTTGAGCGTGTCAAGCAAAAATTTCTAGTGAGAACTTGTCGGCGCCTAGCATGACGTGATACATCAGGTCCTCATGCTTGTTTATCCACTCTTCGGGAACAAATGGTTCATAGGCTTGGGGGCAGCCGATTGTACTTCATTGGAAGATGGTGTCTAGGACACAGGACATCGACAGCCATCACTAGTCCTCGCTCTGGTGATCCAACCTCCTGAATGACAATGGTGTCCTCAGCGACGATGATGAAGTAATCAAGCCAATGACCTTGTCCTGATATTCTTATTGATGGCTAATCTCTACCGTTTTCCGCATGTCGATAATGATTTTCAGCCGATGGTCTCCTATCGACTGTTAGGTTGTCAACCTTTTTCGTATCTCTGATACAACCTCCTATGATGACTTTTTCTTCTTATCGAAAAATATACTTGGTTGAACAGCCGATGATAATAACCCATAGAGGAAAACTCAATGTGACCTCGACAATTGAACTAGCGACGGTCATAGGCTATGTTGATCCTCATTGGCTCTATGTGATTATTCTTGAAATTCTACTACTGTACCCGAAACTGATATCTCACTAGTCTTACATCCTTGTCGATCAAGTGCAGACTCCATCAGTTTGAAGGGTAAAGTCTTGAACCAACAACCGATTCTATCTCAAGAGAGGTGATTGGTCTTTGTCAGTTTGGAGAGTAAATGCATCATCGACAAGACCTTCCTCGCATGGCAACTTAAAGAAACAACAATTCCTTGCTTCCTGGTCTGCTTTTCAATAAAGGCCACTGACAGTAAAACGCCTTCATGCATATGTAAAATGTCCGATCTCAATTAATCCATGTCATGTATGCATCCATGAATAGTAAGCCAATGTAAAAATAGCCGATCTCCATATATTAGAATAATCATTATTAATTGAATCTTCTCTTTGCTTGCATCGGTTGGCATAACAATGATATACTCCGAGCATCGTATCGGCTATTGACTTGATACCTTTGTTCCTGGCTACCACAATATTTAAACAAACTCTGAGAACCTTTCAATACTCAGAGCTAATTTTTTGTATGTTGATAATAACTTTCGACCGATGGTTATTGCTCAAAATTACTCTACCGATGGTGGGGTAATTTGAAGAAATATTCCCTTAACCTATGAGCCATTTATAACAGCATGCAGACCTGACCTCTTTTTGTAGACGCACACACG